AATAGTTATATACATTTCGATTGGCTTTGAAAATTATAAATTTATAAACTCAAGTTCCATTTGCTCTTGGGATACCATCTTACAAGGACTCCAATTTGCAGTAAGGTTCGTTAAGGAAGGGAATGGCTCAGTTGCCTTTAGCCTACTGGCTATGGGTGAGATAGGACCTCTGTTGGTCTTTTCTGTGTCGAACACACAGATTGCAAGCCCAGTGCCACTTTGAGATCTTTGGCAGCAGTTAACTCTGCAGCTCACACACGATTAAGCTTGTATGATAATGAGTATTCAGAGACGGGTAATGCCTAGGGGGCGGTCACCAACCTAAGACAGAGTGCCTGTGTGGCCTGGGCAGGCGTCTCCATGACAGGTAAGGTGACCTGCTGATGTCCCACGCAACCTAAGTCAGAAGCTCATTTTTTGGTAAAAGGGGGACCTGTAGGTCTCTGGCCCCCATTTTGGGTAATTGTTGCCTTGCTTGCTGACCTTGATCTTGATATCCTCCCTATGCTAATTCCCTGCTGGGTTCCACCCTCCTGAATGCTGAAGGGAAGTTCCTTGTCTGTGTATTCTGCATAATGGGCGTTAAAAGCCTAGATGCAAGATTGTAAAACATCTATAGCGAACTTCTGCCCTCCGGGGTTCTCCCATTGTGCTGTAAGCCTGTATTTAAGACCTCTTCCCTCCTTTAATAAACAGCATTCGGCATAAATAAATAAATAAATAAATAAATAAATAAATAAATAAATAAATAATAAATAAATAAATAAAAAAAAACAGTGGCTGGAGAGAAATGTAGCTAGGTGTTTAAGCCCTTGTCTGGCAAGCACAAGGTCCTGAATTCAGTCCCTCACAAAGAAAAGGCAATTAAGAATAGGAAAAGTCGGGCTGGAGAGATGGCTCAGAGGTGAAGAGCACCTACTGCTCTTTCAGGGACCTGAGTTCAATTCCCAGCACCCATATGGTGGCTCACAACCATCTGTAATGAGATCTGGCACCCTCTTCTGTGTACATGATAAATAAATCCAAAAAAAAATAGGTAAAGTCGCCGGGCGGTGGTGGCACATACCTTTAATCCCAGCACTCGGGAAGCAGAGGCAGGTGGATCTCTGTGAGTGTGAGGCCAGCCTGGGCTACAGAGTGAGTTCCAGGGAAGGCACAAAGCTACACAGAGAAACCCTGTCTCAGAAAACTAAAATAAATAAATAAATAATAAATAAATAAAAAGACAGGATGACATCAAAGTCCATGACCTTTGCATCTTACATTTCAACTATCAGGACTTCCAATTAAATATGTCTTTGAAGCAAATTAATTGAAGAGGCAAATCTATGATTACATATTTGTTGTTTTTACAGAGATGTTGACTAGGAACGAGTAGTGCTCTTAAGACGTCCCCACAGGTCTAACTCCCAAAATGCTGTACACTAAATCCACTAATCTCCTTCCACCTCAAACTGTCAAAACCTGGGCATAATGGTGCAAGTCTGTAATTCCAGCACTAAGAAGTCTAAGGCAGTAGATGGAGAAGTAAGAAGCTAGATGTGGCACATGCTTTTGATCCCAACACTCCAGAGGCAGAGGCTGGTGGATCTCTGTGAATTCAAGACTATCTTAGTCTACACAGTGAGTTCCAGGATAGCTGGAGATAGATAAAAGATCCTGTCTCAAAACAACAAACAAATAAGCAAAAACCCACAAAAGGCTATCAAAAGGAAACTGATACTGGCAGTTGTAGAAAACACCTGCAATCCCAGGACTTGGAAAGTGGAAGCAAGGATCAGGAATTCAAGATCGCTGAGTTTAAGGCCATCTGCAGCACTACATGAGACCCTGTCTCAAAAAATTTTTTAAGAGTTCCAATTTATCAGAAAGGGCAATTATTGGTGGCAAAGATGTCATGCCATGGCCATATCTTTTAAAAGTACAATTAATTGAGCCAGGCGGTGGTGGCACATGCCTTTAATCCCAGCACTTGAGAGGCAGAGGCAGGTGATATATCTGTGAGTTCAAGGCCAGCCTGGTCTACAAAGCAAGTTCCAGGTCAGCCAGGAATGTTACACAGAGAAACCCTGTCTTGAAAAATCTCCTTCCCCGCCAAAAAAAGTACAATTAATCACTATTTCTTTTAGCTCAAAAAAAGAGGATCTGGGGGAAGAAATGACATTTAAAAATGACTTGACAAACACAAGTGAGCTATAGGAAGATGATGTGATTCCTGAGTGCGTCTTACATCCCATCACAGGTTTAACATACAAAGAAAGCCTATTTTGTTTTGTTTTGTTTTGTTTTGTTTTGTTTTGTTTTGTTTTGTTTTTCGAGACAGGGTTTCTCTGTGTAGCTTTGCACCTTTCCTGGAACTCGCTTTGGAGACCAGGCTGGCCTCGAACTCACAGAGATCTGCCTGACTCTGCCTCCCAGTGCTGGGATTAAAGGCCTGCACCACCACCACCCAGCAAAACTAGAGATTTTTTTTTCTAGAGCTGAGGACCGAACCCAGGGCCTTGCGCTTGCTAGTCAAGTGCTCTACCACTGAGCTAAATCCCCAGCCAAGAAAGCCTATTTTAACACACAGTCCTCTACTGTTCAATGACCAACAACTATAACCAACAGGACTAAAATTGATGTAACATTCAAAGTCAATTTCAGATGCATATGACTGTCAAAAAAGCATAATCGATTTTGAAAGAATTCATAGCCCTACCTCTGAACATTAGAACAAGTGTAAGGGCAACACAGAACTTAGACTACATCTACTGGGCTGTGTAAGTTCCAATTAAATCTTTAATTTACTGATCTGGTGATTTAAATGTGTACACTACTAAAAGAACGTGCTCTATGTAGATGACAATATCGAATGATTTACTAATCTAAGGGATTTAAAATTTAAAATTTTCCCTCCCCACCCCCCAAATTTAAAGCCATTTTTAGCAGTGAGAATTTGAAAATGTCTGAAGGTATATTCAGTGCAATGATTTGCAGTTTAATTCCTAGTCCTAGGCCTAGGGCTCAGACAGAACTCCTAAGAACCTTCCAGCTTACGACACTGGAACAAATTCTTAGGATTTACCATAGTCAGGGTTGTGCAGTAAAATGTGAGCAGCTGGGCATCTTGGTTGAAACAATGAGGTCAAAGCTCCCTTTAGCATTAGCAAAAGTGAGTCTCTGCAGAAATCTTGGGAGAAATGCAAAGTACTGGCAAGCTGGCACCTCAACAACTGCTGCAAATTCTACTGCATGCCCTAGCTTTGTGGGCCAGCAATGCTTAATTTTTACAGATACAATGCAGATCACTCTCAGCAAAAGAAAACTGCTTTTGGATCAACACTGCTTGTTTAATTTCAAATGTCCAAAGCCTTAAAAAAATGGGGATGAAGATGTCAGTATCTCAATTTTGTACTAATGAATTTAACATGACTTGGAGACCAGTAATTTTGTTAACATTTGAGAGCCATGTGAAAAGATTACCCTTTTTCCCACGCATTACAATTAGCTTTCTTGTCACCTTTCCCTTTTTATCACCCCAAAACAACACTTCAAAATCACAAGAACCTATGTGAAACAGAATAGGAGGTACAATGCTCTTTTACAGTCTCAAGCTAAATGTGAGAACAAATTTTAGTCACTTGCTTCAGCAAAGCATCCAGCATACTCCATTTCCCATGGCTCTCAAGAGCCTTGATATGCTCAATGCCACAGGTACTAATCATCTCCACCTTCATTTGCGTGTTTCTGAGTGAAATAAACATTTAGCAAAACCTTAACAGAGGATTGTTATGCTGATGATATCCTAAAAGGGGACGTATTAAGCGTGATTATTAAGCAGGAGACATTTGTGAAAGTTTCAAATGTAGAAAAAATAAGGGCAAATTCATCCGACCTATGAAAAATATATCAGCAATGACTTAATTAGAAATGAAAACACAAAAGGTACCAAATTGTCAAGTTCTTAATCTATGCCAAGAATGAAGGGGGGACGTACTCAGCATAATTCTCCTTAAATGAAAAAGAAAAATAAAATAAAATAAAATTTAAGGATGAACGCTTTCTTTCATATCCCTGGCAGAAATAAAATCCTATTCCCGCCACCACCTCTGGAAATTAAGGAAGTTGCTACAAACAGCAGCGAGTAAGTAAACGGCTCTACTTTGCTCCGTTCTTAACGTACCCTCTGAGTAAACAGGTTAATCCAAAAAGTCAGTAGCAGCCAGAAATCGCTCCTCCTCCCCATGCCTAACTCCCCGCAGAAATGTAATTCCCTTTTCTGTGGGGCTAGGGATGGGGAAAGGTGGCCAAAGGAGCTCGACTGCAGGTTAGAGCAGAAGGTCCTCTGCGAGGCTTCAGATTCAGGCTCTGCCACGCTGGTGCAGCCTCCCCGCCGCCGCTGCTGGTCCCAACCCACCCTGCCTGCGGCCCTCGCTTTTTATCTTGCCCTCAAGGTAGCTTGGAGGCTGAGTCTTCAAAGTTTGCCCGGCCTCTGGTCAGCAGCCACCCGCCGGGCCGAAGCTGGGATGAGGCTGAGTCCTGCTTTAGCCTTGGGCTCTCTTGGCCCCCTAGCTCTTCTTTTGGGCCACAGTGACAGATCTAGGTTTACCTCCATGTGCTCGTGGCAGAGGAAACAAAAGAAAGCTTCTTCCCTGATAATCAAACGCCATCTTCCACTAATTGGGAAACTGAGGGATCCCCGGGGAGCCCCCCCCCCCACACACACACACCCCGAGTTCCCCGTGTCTGCCGCTCCAAGGCGATCCCTAGTCTAGAGGCAGAGTTCCTCAGAGCCCGGAGAAGCCTAGGCTGAAAGGTCCTGGAGGCAGGGGTGGGACACCAGAGAGCCCCACCTGCCTCCCCACCCAGGCCACCCGAAGAAGCATGCTTCCGTTAAAATGGAAAGGAGGGGGAGGGTGGCGCGTCCCACTTGTCCCTCACACATCGACTAGGAAGGAGCGAAGGGGCCAGAGAGCCGGCTACCCCGGTCCGCCTGGAGCCGCGGCAAGTATACTCACCAAACGATTCAAGGTCCGGCGGAACATCGCGTCCGAGGCTGCGGGGTGTCAAGCTGGGCTCCTGTGGGCTGTCTGGGAAGGCGCCGTCCACAAAACACACTGCGGCGTGGGCCCGCGGCGCAAAGCGGACAGCTAGCTCGGCCGCCCCGCCGCCAGCCCGCCGCCTGCCCTCCTCGCCTCTGCGCGCCCCCGCCCCCGGCCGCCCGCCCGCCCGCCCGCCCGCGCGCTCGCCGCCCCGCCTTCCCCGCCTTCCCCGGGGCCCGCCCCCAGTCCCCGCCCGCCCGGCCCGGGGGCGGCGACCCCGTCGCTCCCCTTATCTGGCCCCAGCACCGCCTGGCGCTCCCGCCGCAGCCCGCCTAGAAGCGAGCCCGGCGCGCGGGGGAGGGATGGTGGGGGAGCGCTAGGCTTTCCCTGCGGGAGCGGGGCGCTCCAGTCTCCCCGTCAGCGCCTTCCACTCGTCCTGCTGCTAAACCCCCGCCCGACTCCCCGCTAGCTTTGGCGGACGCCCCTCTAGGGCGTCCCCGCGCCTCGCCTGACACTATTCCCAGGTGTCTGTGAGGAGCTACAGTCTCCCTCACCCCGGCCCTAACTCGTCCGCTTCGCCGCTTCACTCGCAGCCCTTCGTCGGCCCCGCGCTTTCGCCCAGCACTTCTGACTGAGGAGAGCCTCGGTGCGGCCCACCTCGAGGCCGCCGGCCGCCCCTGCCTCCGGACCAGGAGTGGCAGCTCACTAAGGAAACACTCGGGACTAACGGGCGACTGAGGGGACCTTAGCGCGGGCGGGGCGGGGCGCGGCGCGGGCGGCGGGAGTAGTTACAAAAGCCGCCCCCTCCTAGGTTACAAACATGAGAGGCTCCCCCTCGGTTCCCACCTACATCGTCTTCCCTTTCTCGTATTTTGGGGTTTCCTGGTTTTTCCCTTGGTTTTGGTTTTCTTTCGTCCAGCTACCCGACCTAAACCCTCTTACTTCCACTTTCTCTGGGAGGTTGTAAAGTCGGGCTTTGTGTCGTTGCTACTGCGCAGCGGGGCGGGATTTCCCTGCCACCCTCTCCTAGATCACCCGCCCTTTTCAATGTTCCTAGTGCACCCTGGGAGTTGTAGTCCAACAGTCTCTCAGCCGGCTACTGCGAGCTGGGAGCTCCCCCATATGCCCGGCTAGGGTTTGCTCACAGTGTTGAGAAGGAAGCTGCAGGGACTTAAAGGCCAAACTAAGGTTCTCCTTACCATCTGTTTGTGGAAATCAGAAACACTGGGTAGATTCTTAGCTGTGGGAAATGTGATGAGAAGGATAAGTTACATAAAGTTCTGAATGCTGAAAACCTTACCCAGAACTCGACATTTACTCAGCGTTAAGTCCTGCACGCCCTCAACTTGCTAACTTTAAATTGCAATGCACAAAAGTTTAAAACTTAAAAATGAAACCTTGGTCAAGAATTCCCTTGAGCCTGGATAGCTCTATCCGCTCCCACCCCATTTTCCACCGCCCTCTGAGGCGGGGCCCTAGGCTAGGAGCTGAGAACTTTCGTATCCTTCTATAAACACTTTAAAGAAGTGGGTAAAGGGAGTTCTTTAGAGAGAGACAAGTTCTCCTGCCAGCCTAGAAGGGTTGGACTCAGCTACTCCTTTGACCTAGTGTGAAGTCCTGAAGGGTTTTTATTGTGAGGCTATGGTACTTCCCATTTTACCCCCTGAAGGTTATTTGATTTCAACCAGCATTTACTGGATGTTTTCTTTCTAGATGCTGGATACAGTGATGTATTAAAAGACCTCCCCAGCAGGCTGGCTGCAAGTGAAGTTACAAGGAACAAACACGTGAAATCTACAGGTTAGAATGTAATGGTTTCTAATGCCAAAGGAAACAGAGGAGAGGATAATGCCTTTAAAAAGAATCTGGGAAGCTTTCCTGAAAACCATGAAATTTTCATTGGGTCAAGCCTATAAAACAGAGCTGCTGGAGATTAACCCAGGCCTTGGAATGTGGGAAGACTTTGGAGGAGCCCAGGGAACAAAGTCCTGGGTAGAGAGGGAGAGGTCAGTTGGAAAGTACAGGGCAACCTAAGAAAAAGAACACAGCCACTCTGTCAAGGCAGGAACCGGGACACATGTGGGCGGGACATTACAAATGAAAGCTAAAACCCCAAAGCATCCTTAGAAACAAGCTATGAAGTCTGACCTTGTTTCTGTGATCAAAGAGAAGCCCAACCACAATAAAGTACGAATGCAGAAGATTTAAATTAGTTTCTAAATGGTCCTAACTGCCATAGGTAAAATCAACCATTTCTACTTTTCCTATACTATGGCTCCTCTGTTTCCCCACACTTAAGGATATGTCAGCAATTTTTAAGAAATCTTAAATTTGTAGTAATTAGATATTAGGATATTTAATTGACAACACAGATCTAAGATTGTGCTCTCTACTACTCCAAAGAATTGGTTTTAAATACAGTTGTTTTTTTCCTGGCTTTACTTTTATTGAACACAAAAACTATTTTAATTTCATTTACTAATTATTTGTTGAGTAACTACTATGTGAATAACTGCTATTCTGAATACTGGAATGGGGGTGAAAGAAGTTATTACCACTCATTCTATAATGTATATGGGCAGAAATGAAGATATTCTGAAGAGACACTTGTGTCTCTCTGATTATATCATATTATGGAAACAATGGATGCCAAGGAAATGGGAATTTACCCAGGAATCTTATACTTAGTGAAGGAAAAGCCCCCTGCCAGAGAGTGAACTTGTTCAGAGAAAAGAGATTTTACACAGTTCTAACAATTTGTCAGACCACCTTACAATATGAGACTGAAGTCCAGACAATGATAGGATGGGTAGTGTTAGGTGGGACCGTACTTGACTGAGACTGCTTTGATGTGCATGTCTTTGGGAAGAGGTTTTGGAGGGAGCTGCCACTGGATTTCGTTGTCTTTTATCAATGTGGCCACATTGAATAAATCTTTTTCTGTTTTCCACTTTTAATTTGGCTCTTTTAATTGGCTCACTGAAGATGGGTGGCCAGATCTCCCTTGAGTCACAGATTGTGAACCCCAAGTTTGATAACAATTCAGGCAGGAGTCAAGAATCTTTATCAATGAAATACAAACTTTTTGACAAAATAAGTAGTAGAAAACTAATTCAGACAGTTTGAGATGGAAGTTCTTACTGGTAAATATTTTTCCACATCTAGTTTTGTTAAGCAGATGGAAGAAAATGTACTCTGCTTATAGATTTGTACAGATAAACTTTAAAAAATGGACACTCAAAATTTTCACTGTTTGTTCTTACTTTTTTTTAAAAATATATTACTGGAGCTTTAAAAGCAGTGACTTTAAGATCGCTCAGGACATAGTAAGAATTGTTGCTCACATTTCATTTGTTATTAGCATTCCACTATCTCCTTGTCATCCTAATTTATTTCAACACAACACCTATACTCATGAGTCCTGACTAATTTGCTCCACTATAAAAATAAATTTTCATACCAATCAAACTGTGCTTACCAAAACATGAGATTTATGCAAAAGCAATTTTTGTTGTATCTCAAGCTCAACCTGAAATTAGAGTTGATCTCACATACTCGTCATGGAGTCACTCCTTTGTGATATTTTTTAAGACACGAAGAAATTAATTTTGTTCTTTTCAGTGCCTTTTCACAGTTTCCAAAGAAAACCTAGGTGTTGTGGATGACTATGAAAAGCAGACCATCAGCCAACTCCATAAACAGAGCTGCAGAAACTAACTTCCTCCTGCTGAAACTGTCACAGCCAGTAATGGCACATAATGCCAACTTTTCCAGAGTGTCAGCTGACCTCAGCAGAAGCCACAGTTTCCAGGAAATTCAGGAAGGAGTCTGGGCTCTGCTCAACTTGACTAGGGGATAAAGTTTGAAGCCAAGGGATGCAAAAGAGAGACCCATTTGCCCTGTTTCTATGCAAAGCACTCAGGAGCCCTTCTGTGTCTGTACTCCCATGCCTTTTGCACCTTCCCACCTTCTACTTTGAAAGATTACCAAAAGGAATGCAAAACAAACACTAGAGTACAGCAGGCCAACCTGTAAATGGAGACAAGATGTATAGAAAATGAGGTGACAAGCCACGAACCACATGGCAAAGCATAGAGAAGAAATATGGGTTAATTTAAATATGAGAGCTAAGTAGTAATAAGCCTACACCATTGGCCAAGCGTTTATAATTAATATAAGCCTCTGAATGATTATTTGGAAATGGCTATGAGATAGGGTGGGACAGAGAAAAGCCTCTGTGCTGTGGAATGTTGTTCTGTATGCTGTGAATGTGTGTTGCTCTGATTGGTTGATAAATAAAATCCTGATTGACCAGTAGCCAGGCAGGAAGTATAGGTGGGATAAGCAGACAAGGAGAATTCTGGGAAGAGGAAGGCTGAGTCAAGAGTTGCCAGCCAGACACAGAGGAAGCAAGATAACAAGGCAGAACTGAGAAAAGGTACCAAACCACATGGCTAAACATAAATAAGAATTATGGGTTAATTTAAGTGTAAGAGCTAATCAGTAATAAGCCTGAGCTAATGGCCAAGCAGTTATAATTAATATAAGCCTCTGTGTGTTTACTTGGGGGACATGAGTGGGAGAGATTTGTCCAGACCGCCAGCAGGCTGGGACACAGGAAAACTTCCAACTAAATTCGGTGTACAATTGTGGGGCTCTCCAATTTCCATAAGGCCTAAAAGAGTTTTATAAGGGCTTCTAAACACACAATAATGGAGCCAAAAACAGCTTTCTACTTCATGTCTCATCTGTGTTGAAATATAGAGACGCCAAGGTACAGAGACACCATGCAGACTTGAGCTACAGTATGGTGGGTTCACAGCATGTGAGCTTGAGTGCAGAATGGCAGATTCCAAACACTGTACACAGTGGTGTCTGCAAGCCACACAGCATGGAGCGTGGTGGATATAGCTTTTGCTAGACAAAAGAAAAAAAAGGAAAGAAAGAAAAAGGTTTTTAGGCTACACATTGCTGAATGGAAGCATAGACCCACTGCTTCACAGAGTCAGCAATGAGCATGGTTCCCCCAGAGCTGGCAGTAAACATAGTTCTGCCATATTGGGAAGCTGAAGTGGAAGGAATCAGCAGCCAAGGCTTCTGCTTTAGTACTAGCCACTGCAGTTTAAAGCAATAGATTCACAATAAGACAGATTCAGATGGGAT